GGAGCGGGGCTGCGGAGGACGGCTAGGGCTGCCCCCCATGCGGCCCAAACCAAAAGCATATGCGGCCCAAACCAAATTTTCATCTTCTAATGTGGCCCAGGGAAGGTGAAAGGTTGGACAGCCCTGGTTTACACCTTACAAAAATTTACCAAACTGGCCCCCAGTATCCCGAGGTGAAATCTTCTCCTTAATTTGCCAAACAAAATCGGGTAAAGCCCCTGGTGCTGATTCTATCCCAGTAGACTTGTTGAAGGCCAACCTGGACTGGTGGGCCCCAGTCCTGGCCTCCCTATTTTCCTGGATTAATTATACAATGCGTATTCCAGAGGACTGGGGATTAGCCACTATAGTACCAATATTTAAACGAGGCAATAGAGGAGACATTGCTAATTACTGTCCGATAAGCCTACGTATTACAATCAGTAAGTTGTATGCAAGATATCTACTGGGGAGGCTTTTGGACTATGTGGGTATATTGACTGATGTGCAGGCAAGATTTAGGCCAGGAAAGTCTGCCTTGGATCAGGGCTTTATCCTACAACATCTAGCTCATAAATACTCCTCCCCTCAAGGAGGCGCCTTGTATGCAGCCTTTATTGATTTTAAGTCCGCCTTCGATTTTATCCCAAGAAATAAACTTTGGGCCAAATTGGAATCTACAAACATAGACAGACGACTGCTTCTGCTAATGAGACGACTGTATGAAAATACCCACCTGAGAGTCCTCTGTAATTCAGCTGGAGTTCTATCTAATCCAATCCCAGTTTTCAATGGGGTCCAAACAGGGTTGTATACTGGTGCCTACCTTGTTTAACTTCTATATTAATGACATAGTTGAAGATTTATTTAAGCCTGAATTTCATCCCCCTAAGCTGCACTTATGTTGTGTATCAATGCTGCTTTATGCAGACAATGTGGTTCTACTCTCATTAACATGTGTGGGACTGAGAAGACTCTTGAGGGAACTTTCTTCTTACTGTAATCAAGAGCAGTTAGTAATTAATTACCAGAAGACCAAAGTTGTCGTGGTCTGCAGAAGAAGATTAAAGCACAATTGGACTATCAATGGTCATCCCATAGAGCATGTTTCCAGCTACAAATATTTGGGCATAATCTTTCACGCCTCAGGTTCCTGGGCCCCCCACAAAAAGCATGCAGCACTGAATGCTCATAAAAATGCAGTGAAATTAACAAGATTTTTTCACACCAAAGGGGGTCACCATATCCCCTCAGCCGTTCAGGTTTTGAAGGCTAAAGTTGTTGCTCAAATGCTCTACGGGTGCCAATTGTTTGCTTTATCTGACCTACATCCTCTTGAGGTAATTCAAACCAAATTTTTGAGATCTATTTTGACTGTACCTCCCTGTACACCCAATATAGCCCTTCAACTGGAGGCTGGCCTAATCGCCATAAGAGCACGCGCCAAAGTCCACATGTTTAGAAGGCTTGATAGAGATGTCACTTTTTCACTCCTTTCAATCAGCATGGAAACTACAACTTACAAAAGAAATAAGGCAAATGGGCTTTTCCACCAATGTTCTTTTGGCGATGGGGCATGCCGGCACTAAAGCAGCACTCAAACAAAGAATCTGGGACATAGAACTTCAAGAGCATATGAGCCAGTTAGGCAAATACAGTGTTGTCACTAATACAGTGTTGTCACTTTACAATATCTTCATATTTGACAAGCACAATGTCAACAAAGACCAGAAGAGCCTTACATTAGCGAGACTTAATGTTTTACCCTCTAACCTCATGAAGATTTCAACATATACCTGCCTCGGATTGCCT